GCATACAGCTGCGTTGTCGACGTGGCAATGGGCAGAAAAAGCAATGAGCAATACTGTCTCATCGGATATATTCCCGATATTGTCTTTATTAAAATTATGTAACAATGCGTGTGTGTTGAGCTAATACATTTTTCTAAAAAAACCGGGAGTGATCTCCCCTAAACGATCTCGAATATTCTTATATAACTTGGAATATAGACATGATTTTTAATTACTTAAATTTTAAAAATAGAATAGAATCTCATATAAGAAAGAATTGCGCACCAAGCCAACGCCAAAACAAAATGTGCATAATAGTGCGCAATATTATTAGTTCTTTATAAATTTACATGCCTTTTTTGAGAAATCGGGAATAGCGTAAAATAGTACTTCAGGTCAACGGAAATTACTCAAAATTTGACAGAAGGTAGAAATTTAGATCTTTTACTTACATGTGAAATTTTTATATATCTATCCTAAATAGTACTCAAGTTATAGGCTTTTGAAAAATTCAAAGTATAAAAAGTACCACTTCCGGTTATCGGAAATAGCTCAAAAGTTGATACGAAGTTTAGAGAAAGTCTTGTAATCGTGCAAAAAAATCGAGATTTTTACAAATCTCGACGTTTTACACCTCACTGATACGGAAAAACATAATTTTGCAATCTTGTCCGTATGTCTGTGTGTGTGATTTGTAAGTCTGTCTGTCTGTCTGTCTGTCTGTGTGTATAAACGATAACTTGAGTACCGTTACAGCTAGGTTGATGGAATTGCATATATAAGTATTTTATCAAAATCGTAGATCCGTAGGCTATAAACTTTTCAGCGATTTCCGATAACAGGAAGTGATATTTTTTCTACATTGAATTTTTCAAAAGCCTATAACTTGAGTACTATTTCAAATAGATGAATGAAATTTAACATGTAAGTAAAAGATGTAATTCTCTACCTTATGTCAAATTTTGAGTAATTTCTGTTCATCTAAAGTACTAATTTACGGTATTTCCGTTTTATCAGAAAACGAATGTAAATTTATAAAGTACTAAAAATATTCCGTACGTGTACGAGTACGAGTACGTGTACGTGTACGAGTACGTGTACGTGTACGTGTACGTGTACGTGTACGTGTACGTGTACGTGTACGTGTACGTGTACGTGTACGTGTACGTGTACGTGTACGTGTACGTGTACGTGTACGTGTACGTGTACGTGTACGTGTACGTGTACGTGTACGTGTACGTGTGCGTGTACGTGTGCGTGTACGTGTGCGTGTACGTGTGCGTGTACGTGTACGTGTACGTGTACGTGTACGTGTACGTGTACGTGTACGTGTACGTGTACGTGTACGTGTACGTGTTCGTGTTCGTCTACGTCTACGTCTACGTCTACGTCTACGTCTACGTCTACGTCTACGTCTACGTCTACGTCTACGTCTACGTCTACGTCTGCGTCTACGTCTACGTCTACGTCTACGTCTACGTCTACGTCTACGTCTACGTCTACGTGTACGTGTACGTGTACGTGTACGTGTACGTGTACGTGTACGTGTACGTGCACGTGTACGTGTACGTGTACGTCTATGTCTATGTCTATGTCTATGTCTACGTCTACGTCGACGTCGACGTCGAGGTCTAGGTCTAGGTCTAGGTCTAGGTCTAGGTCTAGGTCTAGGTTAGGTCTAGGTCTAGGTCTAGGTCTAGGTCTAGGTCTAGGTCTAGGTCTAGGTCTAGGTCTAGGTCTAGGTCTAGGTCTAGGTTTAGGTCTAGGTCTAGGTCTAGGTCTAGGTCTAGGTCTAGGACTAGGTCTAGGTCTAGGTCTAGGTCTAGGTCTAGGTCTAGCTCTTTAAGCCCGTAATTATTTTCACGTTTTACCGGAATTATTTTTTTCCCTCATTTTTTTTTCAGTACCCCTGCGGCTAAATGACCCATATCTTTTTACCCGTTAATTTAAATCCCACACATTATTGATAAAAATCAATCGTAATTGAATACCCTACACACTGATATAAATTTTAAGGAATTATTAATTTATTGAAGAAAGATAATTACTTAGTTTTAAAGAAGAAAAAATAAAGAGTTGATTTTTTCGTGCAAAATTACGCTTCTGACGGGAAAATTAATAATAAGAATAACTTTTCATGAGTTCTTATTTATAGAAAACGAAATTACGTCCATTTATCTACAAAAATCATGGATCGGATTAGTTTTAGTATAAATACTTTAATTTTCGTTAATTTTATAATGCAGCGACGTAAACGTTTAGACGCGGCCGCTGAACGGCATTCCGCAGTGTTAAAAATGACTTTTTTCGAGTTGTTTTACAAAAAAAATTCTATAAAATACAAAATCGATCTAACGAGAAAACTACAAGAAGTAAATAAAACGAAAAATGGCCGCTCTAGCGTTATCATGACCTAGATTTACGATTAAAAACTTGGATTCCGAAAAACAACGTATTAAATAGAGAAAATTTTATCGGACGCTGGGAGCGTCTTTACGGTCTTAAAGAGCTCTAGGTCTAGGTCTAGGTCTACGTCTTGGTCTAGGTCTAGGTCTAGGTCTAGGTCTAGGTCTAGGTCTAGGTCTAGGTCTAGGTCTAGGTCTAGGTCTAGGTCTAGGTCTAGGTCTAGGTCTAGGTCTAGGTCTAGGTCTAGGTCTAGGTCTAGGTCTAGGTCTAGGTCTAGGTCTAGGTCTAGGTCTAGGTCTAGGTCTAGGTCTAGGTCTAGGTCTAGGTCTAGGTCTAGGTCTAGGTCTAGGTCTAGGTCTAGGTCTAGGTCTAGGTCTAGGTCTAGGTCTAGGTCTAGGTCTAGGTCTAGGTCTAGGTCTAGGTCTAGGTCTAGGTCTAGGTCTAGGTCTAGGTCTAGGTCTAGGTCTAGGTCTAGGTCTAGGTCTAGGTCTAGGTCTAGGTCTAGGTCTAGGTCTAGGTCTAGGTCTAGGTCTAGGTCTAGGTCTAGGTCTAGGTCTAGGTCTAGGTCTAGGTCTAGGTCTAGGTCTAGGTCTAGGTCTAGGTCTAGGTCTAGGTCTAGGTCTAGGTCTACGTCTTGGTCTAGGTCTAGGTATAGGTATAGGTCTAGGTCTAGGTCTACGTCTTGGTCTAGGTCTAGGTCTGGGTCTTTGTCTAAATAATTTATTCAGTAAATTGTGTAACAAAATATTTCACTCACCTTCCTTTCGGCTGGGCTGTATACGTGGATAGGAAAACACACGCACAATGAATATGACTCATGCCTTCGATGAATTCCCGATTTTGGTTTTCTTTTACAATGGATACACATGTTACCTTTAATCAATAATTATGAAACTCCGAAAGCATCATAATTTTTAAAAATATGCAGGCCATAAGTGTTAGATTCGTAATCTACTATGTTTTTTAAGCGAAAGTGTGCCAATTACATTCTGTTAAATACATTTTTTTTCTTGTAGCTAAAACAAAAAGTAAAAATAAAAGACTATTAAAAAACACGTGTTATATATGATTGTGTTAATATGTTTATTATAAATTTATAGTGCACTGACATTCCATAGTTTACTCAAACATGTGATTCATACCAACGTCCTTGTTACAAACATAGATGTATAACATATGACTTACGTTAAACCTATCACTCATGTCCGTGAAGAAAAATATGTTTTAATAATCAGCAGTATGTCGAATATGCTTGAACCGTTCTTCTGTTTATTGAGGCTACATCCTGTGCTCATCGTTTTAAGTGGGTAGGTTCCGGAAAAAAACACTTCTCAATTAATAAGCTGTATTTATTTATATGTATGTTTCTTAGTTAGGGTGCTTAAAGGAAAATATTTGCATGTATCAAGGACTCTTCTGAAAGTATGGTGCCCATGGCAACCGCGTTCATCTTGGAAAAAAATAACCTTTTTGTCGAGGTCACACGGTTAAAAAAAAAACGAACATAAATATATTGATCATCTGATTATTGATGTTTCTTTTACTAACTCTAATGACATCTAGTTACACAAAAAATTGCATTATTTTTATTCCAATATAATTTAATTTTACAGAATATTACAAAATAAATTTCCCTTTCAAACTTGACGGTCTTCGGGGTAAGTGAAACTACTCGTGTAGATGATTCTATTATCTATTAATTCACATTTAAACAAGCGTTTCTCTTTATATAAGATATAGGAGGGTGACTGTGTCTACCGAACAGTTATGGAAACAAGGATTATTGTTGTAAATGATAGGTCTATTGTTATAAGTAGATTTTTAAAGTCTACAAACGGAATATGTATTTAAATAAGATGTATTCAATGTTCTAATGATAAAAAAAAATTGTATTTGCTATAACACGCAAGGGTTGGTCACGTAAGATAATAAAGCAACCAATGTGTCGTACTAATCACCATTAACTACACTTTACAAACTCTTTAATAGGAAAGTAATTTTAAAAAGTTACTACTTTGTAAAATTGAAAAATTGTATTGTTACAGTTTCTGTTTCCACCTGTTTAGGTGCTCACATATTTTATTTTACACATTATGTTTACTTACATATTATGTTTTCTCACTATACAGTTTGGTTTTTCCGTTTGTTGCGCATATCGTTGCATATAGTTTTAAAATACCTTGCCACGTAGACTGAAGATGTAGACTTATGTGCTGTATAACCAAAATCAATAATCATTAACATTAAAAGTGTTTAGAGAACTAAGTGGTATAGAAAACACACGACTTGTGTAAAAAGCATTTTATCACATGCTTAATCTGTCGCTTTTTTTTGCATTATGATAGTTTAAATATAATCAATATATTCTATAACAGTTAATTTGTAGGTTGGTTTGACTGTACATTACTAAGTCTAGAAGATATAGAAGTGTATTACTGCCAATTAAATAAAATACATTATAAATAAAATATAGTATAAAACACTTATACATTTTTCGGCGGTTCGGTCACTGGTAAAAGTATATATTTGTATATTTATTTTTAAAAACCAAGTTGCTGCTGTTGAGTCGTTTCGTTTGGTTTCAAAAGTTTTTTTTTTTACCTGGCGAACGATTTTAGCCAAGGTAATTGTAAGTAAGTGAACTATTTTACATTTGTATTATTTTGTAATTTATAATTTACGACTTCAACTATCTAATCAAATTATTTTTAGAAAATATGATTTTTATGCTCATTTTTATTATTTTATAATCACATATTAATCACAATTTAAATGAATTAAATTAGTCATGCTAGTTTTAGATAAGTGTTTAATTTGTTATTTCAAAATGGCCGATACCTTAAAAATATGACGTTAAAACGCACGTTATTTATAAAATCGGGAATAGTCGTAATTACTTTTCGAGTAAGTGTAAAAATAGCTGACCCACATTCATTCACTATGACGTGAACGGCAGCAGTCAATTCTAGATCAAACTGGTTCACGGTAACAAATCGATATTACAACAAAAACCCACGGGACATAACCCATTCAACACATCTCGGTCCCCACCTTCTGTCAGTGAAAAAACAACTTTGGACATGAACCCTCATGTTGAATCTATATATTAGTAATGGAAAAAAAGGTGGACAAAAAAAAGTTATCTATAAGACGATACAATTTTCCTAATTTAGTCTGTTTAAATACTATGATTATAATAGTTTTCAATGTTATAGTAATAGATAGTAAAATATGCATCGTTACTTAGCAATATTCCAATCTTTTGAAAATTGAGTGCAAGATAATTTCTGCCATGGCGGAGTGAGTTAAATAGTGCTTTTGCGACACAAGTGCTTAAATAGAATGCAGCAACTATACCTAAGATACATCGCTGCAGAAACTTCTCGTATATTGGGTGCAATGAACGTCAAAGTTAAACAAAGTGATAATTGAGGGAACAGTAATTGTAGGCATTTACACGCGTGCGGAATGAAAACAAAAATAATTAAATGATGATAAATTGTACAGTTTCAATGTAGCATTTCTTTTCCATATGCATACACATTTAGATTCGGCCTCAATACAAATATTATATATATATATATATATATATATATATATATATATATATATATATATATATATATATATATATATATATATATATATATATATATATATGTATATGTATATGTATATATATATATATATATATATATATATATATATATATATATATATAATTATAAATATATATTTTTATGATTTTTCAAAATTCTCATTAAACTTGTTTTAACAAGCAGCATATTTATTTTACGTAGAATGGATGGACACGTTTCCAATCGTAACAAATTTATCGGAGGTGAGTATTAATACTACTATTTTTATGTAACTGTATTGCACAGTTCAATTTGTATAGCTATCAAGTAAATTAAAACCTTAGATTGTTTTCTAATTAGACCTATGGCGACTGTACAACAAGAACATTTATTTATTTAAACCAGGAAAAAAAGTTTATTCTTCTTTTTTTTTTTTTTAAAATATAGGCCTAACTGTAATGTTTGGCGGAATTTTATCCAACACAATTAAATATAACGTAATAACCAGGTAAGCGACGTTAATGAACCAGTTACTTGAATTTGGAGTTTTTTTTCCTATATTGGTTCCAGTTCCCATGCTAAGGAGCACCATCGGCCGGTGGTTCGAACTGGGAACGTTGGTTTTAGCACTAAGAGCGTAACCTACATAATCTTATCTAGTAAAATTGAAATCAAATGATTTGATTTCAATTTTACTAGATAAGATTATTTTAAAAAAACAATATGTTGCACTCAATTCAATATCTTTTAATAAAGGCTTAGATTTAATAAAACAAGTTGTCTATATTGATATATATTAAACAGTGGCGTAGCCAGGATCGTCTCAAGCGGGGGGGGGGGGGTCAATTTTTACCCGAGGACAAACTTTCGATTTGCACCCCCCACCCCTCAAACTTTCGATTTGCACCCCCCACCCCTCAAACTTTCGATTTGCACCCCCCACTCAAACTTTCGATTTGCACCCCCCCCCCCTCAAACTTTTTTATAAATATACCGAGGGGTCTATGGGGGGTATAGCCCCCCCTAACCCCCCCCCTGCCTACGCCACTGATATTAAATAATATAATGAAAAACTGATAAAATATCGTATATATAACTTTCTATTATGATGTCATCAGATGGGAAGAATAAACCAACCAATTGGATAAGAGGCCAGCTTTTGGGACGAGGGGCCCATGCAAAGGTATACCTTGTGACACATTTAGGAGGACTAACTGGAAAATGTGCAGTGAAGCAAGTTCTGATTTCTGAAGATAACGACTCCAAGCACTTAGTGAGTACTGTTTTGTATAAAGTAGTCGACCTGGCTCCAAAGCCCGACCCGATGACTCGTTTTAAATGGTGTTATAATCGAATTAGACGTTAAGGGTAAAGGAAAATAAATTTGTGTCTTTTCACTGATAACTATGGAGCGCCAAAAGCTAAATGATTCTAATCCAAATTCAGTAAATTTATTTTTATTCAGTAAATTTAATATCATTCTGGGTTGAAATACAATATTAATTAACATTCTAAAGCAAAAGCAATATTACCTTATAAAAGCCACGAAACAAATGTTTCACACAATGGTAACCAATAATCTACAATAGTATAAACGCAAGGCTTATTAATGAAGGTTAAACTAACACTCTAAACTATACTGTATTGACAAAAAACTGATCTCGGGAGCTTTTTATTGCACTGTTGTACACAACGTGGCCAATTCGGTAAAGCTCATGGTAAGCTGAAAAATCTCGAGTTCGAATCCTCGGGCAGATGAGGCTCGTTAGCTGGTGACAGCCACTCTTGTAGGAAAGACAACTCCAAAATTAAACAACTGCTGCCTTATAGTTTGTTCTTGGTTGGACAAAGGCTATGGAAGCAAATCCAAAAAGAAAAGAAGGCTGAAATCGGAGTCAATGGCCTCAGTGGTGCATAACCAGTTGACACGTTGTAGGGGATCACTTTCAACCATAAAATTAAGAACGAAGAAGAAGAAGAATTAGAAGACATAGTTTTCAAGTCATGTGTTGAAATCTACTGGACTAGATGGTTGACAGTATAGACCACAATTTCGTGATAATTGCTATTATATTACATTTATGTATGTCTACTTATAAATTCATCAGACTTAAATTAACTTTAACAAAAAAAACATTTTTTAGGTTCACAAAAAAAAAATGTAAAACAACCGTATCTTTTCGACAAATGATCAGGATATAGTCGTTTAAGTACGTTAGAATCAGTCTTGGATGCTACATAAAAATTAGTAATATGTAGTAAATTTAAATTAGCAACCAAAAATAGTTACAGTAGAATAGTGGAAGCTAGTATTTTAATAAAAGTAATGTCGAATCTCTTTCTTACTTATCATTTTGTTTATCATTTTGTTTTTCAGGAAACAATCAAGAAAGAATTAAAAGTTTTCCAAAAAGTCCGACATCATAGAATAGTCGATTATTATGATTTCACAATAACTCAACACTACTTCTATCTGTTTATTGGCTGTTATGAGAAGGTAAGTGAATGTGTCATTTGATTACATACAATATTTACAAAACAACAATAATATCACTCAATCACTCAATATCACTCACTAGAACGATAAAATTAATATAGTGAAACAAAGAAAAACGTAACACATCACTATTATTTTATATTTATTAACTTTAAAAAATCAACAACTTAAAAAACATAGAATTAATACAAATACGTTTTAGAACGTACTGCTATTAATATTATATCGTTGATGATGAATAAATATTGTTTATATTATATTTTATTTATATTTTCAATAAAAAATAAGGGCTCGTTGGCTAAATATATAAAAGAGCAGCCTGATGCATGTCTTACAGAGCAAAAGGCAGCAATTTTTACCCTTCAGCTTCTTGAAGGACTGGATTATCTTCACAATAAAAAAATTATACACAGAGATATAAAAGGTACTTATACATGGTTCTATAAAAGATCTCTCTACAAATGATCTCATGGACAAATGATCACAGATAAAACATAATATATCAGGACAAATTATAGCAATGACAAATGATCTCAGATATAACATCCCACAGAAAAATATTAATAGCATTGTGGATGAATTTATTTGATTCTAACTTTTCTTTGATTGTCAGATAGATTTACTTGTTTACACATAATAATTGCGTGCATACACCTTTCTAGAGAGTAAATTAAACTGTTACTATTAAATAGAAATTTTTGGACAAGTGTGCCATTACTAAAATTACTTTGAAACTGTCATTAATGCATAAAACAAACACATATTGACAAAGGCAGCTATACCATGCTGTACTATGCCGTGCTATGATTTTCTGCCTTTGTGCTATGCTGTGCAAATGGAAAAAAAAAATCGCTTTTTTTATCAGGTTCTAATATTTTGATGGAAGATGACTATAACATAAAAATATCGGATTTTGGAATAGCTGAAATAGTAAGCACACTGTCAAGATCTAGTTTACACAAACCTGGAACTCCAAACTGGATGGCACCTGAGATGTGGCAGAAAGTTCCACACGACAGTAAAGTGGATATCTGGTAAAGAGATTTTGATTTCTCAATTCAAACATGTTATTTTTTAGTGTGAATTTCCAGGCACAATAACAAAGGTCTAATGCTCCACAGGAGCCTTGGGTGCACAGTCTATCAGATGATTACTGGAGAAATGCCGTTAAGAGACTTAACTATACTGCAGATTATGTCTAAAGCAAACAAAAATGAACTTGAGATCAAAGCTCCTGAACACTGTTCGTCAGTTCTCAAGGGATTTGTAAGTCAGGCTTGTGAAAAGAAACCAACGGATAGACCTTCTGCTAATGAACTGATACAGCATATATTTGTAAAAGGTAACAATGAACCGTATTTCACTCTCCGAAGTCATGAAAACATTTTTTTAAATTTTAATTTAAGAAAAAAGCCGAATTAACGCCATATTTTTCCTAGACATTTTAAACTTGTTTTTATTTTCCATTTATCTATTTATAGGACATCATGTACCGCAGATTATTTCTAAAGCAAGCAAAAACCAACTGGAGGTCAGAGCTCCTGAACTATGTTCGTCAGTTCTCAGGGAATCTTTTAATTTGGCTTGTGAGAAGAAATCAAAAGATAAATCACACTCGAAGAAATTGATTCAGCACTTTTATGTAAAAGGTAACGATGAACTCTATTTTACTCATCGATCTGATGGCAACATTTTTATTATAATACAAGAAAAAAAGTATAGTTAACACTATAGTTTTCTTAGAATTACATTTAACACATATTTATTTTTTGTCATTCACCTATTATAGGACGAATTGCTTTAGTGTAGTTTAGATTAGTCTGTCACCACTCCTGTGGCATAGGCCGGTGTCAAGAACTTTCCAGGCACCTCTGTTAAGGGCTAGTCTCTCCACCTGTCCCTAGGTGTATCCTATCTTCTTGGTTTCTTTGTCCAGGTGAGGTCTTCAGGTCTTCCTTAGTCGGCCTCTTTCTTTCGAGCTGTAGATCTTGCTTAAACTTCATAGCAAATATCTTAATTCTTTACAAGTGTTGAGCATAACTAATATTCTATTTAGTTTTAAAGATCTAAAATAGTAGCTAATTTAGGTTCACGAGGACGAAGTTTACTATTCATATATTAGATGATGTATATAAAACAAATATTTCTCACCGAGAGAGGATTTTAGTATACGGCAAAGGTGACTTGCTCAATTGATTTACACATTTTTTGGGGGGCTAAAATGAATTTAAAATAATCAATATAATCAACAATATAATAAAAGTACACAATATAAATATAATATTAATAGCTTAGGGCTATCGGTACTTTATATGATTCTTTTATTAGTAAAACAAATTGTAATAGTTGTAATTCGATATGCAGGCTTTGGGTTTTTCAAAGTACAGCACATATATGGCATCTGCTGAGAAGACTATTTGCCTATTTTTAGAGACCAAGAGTTTGCTGTATCTCTTTATTTTTTATTTTTAATCTGATGTAATCAGAACAGCTGTCTAGGGCAAATTGCTGCATTTCTATAGCTTTTCTTTCTAGTTAGATGTTATCAGAAAATGTGCGTAAAGCGATCAGACTTTGTAAGCTGTTACATATAACGAGCCGACCCGCGGCGTATCATACGCCGCTATTTAGTTGTTTTATTTTCTACTTTTCAGTAATTCATAATTTGTGAATTCGATAGTACCAATGCTGCCACTGAAAATATTTGCTTTAAAACACTACCACCCCCCCTTTCCCCCAACCCCTACCCTACACCCTCCCCCTTCCCCCCCCCCCCCCCCCGTGAAAGCAGCCTCCTCTTAGTTACCTCCTCTAAGTTTAAAATCGTTTCAAACTAAATTATCTGCCCCTAATAGCCGTCACTAAACCCGTCTCTATGATTGTAAAATGTAAACAGCGTGACCACAGCTCACAAGACAATGTGGGGGTGGGGTGGGGGTGGTAGTGATAGTGAGAGAGAGAAAGAGAGGGGACTGCAAGGAGGCGCTTGCAGCTTGGTTTCTAACGGCTCCCAGAAGAGAATTATATATATAGATTATGTCACCTAATTTCTTTTTGGTAGCATCTCAAGCTTAGAGATCTTTAAAGAACGTATTTTGTTTAAAACACTGCCCGATCATTGCCATGAATTTTTCCCAAAGTGTCTACTAAAACTCTGAAGGGCGAGGCCAGGTCCTTTACTGTAAAATTTTTTTGTTGCTTTATTTTGTAATATTTTACTCTAAAATATATACTATGTTTATTACATATATTTTTTCAATATATGTTCCTTTACAGATTTAAAAGCAACTGATACGTCTAGGCGAGACGATTTACAACAGGCATCTCGAGATGGGAAAGAAAAATGTGTAAATAAATTGTTGGAGACAGGTTATGATGTGAATATAGTTGACGAAAACGGGATGAATTATTTAATGTCAGCCGCAAGTTTTGGACGTGAAAAAGATTTGATTCGCTTACTTGAAGAAGGGAGCAATGTAAATAAACTTGACAATAATAAAAAATAATGCTTTAATGTTGGCATCAAGCTTTGGTAACGATTCCATTGTGGAGATTCTACTAGATCAGGGAGCGGATATGAAACAGGTTAATGAAGCTGGCATGGATGCTTTGATGCTGGCATCCTGCAACGGTCATGCTACAACTGTTAAAATATTAATCACTCATGGATGCGGTATAAGTCGATTTGACAAAAAAGGTTACAATGCATTGATGTTGGCTGCAAAAAACAGACATTATCATGTAGTAAGTTTCTTGTTGAAATGGATGAAATAATTGTACGTGGGGCATTAATTAAATGACTAGGGAAATAATTGTATGTGGGATCACTACTTAAACGTGGTGATTTTCCAATTAACGTGAACTCGAACACCAACAATACTGGTATGTTCATTACAATATTAGGTAGTTTATATACGTTTATTAGTTTAACATGTATTACAATGCAAGTTAAACTCTGTTTTAATGAAAGTTGAAATAATTTTAACATCTTGAAATTTCAAATAATCTTTTTACGTTTTTTCCTTTATTATGCTCGTATAATTTAGTGGTCAAATGCTAGCGTGGCATCGTTACATATGCAAGTCTTTGATGTGCGTTAATTAAAAGCAGTGTCCAACAAACATATTTTACGCATGGCGTAACAAACTGTAGTACAGAATCTGAGCTCAAAAACTGAGCTTAACCAGATTATATTCCACAATTACTGAACTAAAGACGCTAAGGTTAACCAGGTTATATTTCACAATTACTGAGCTCAAGACACTGAGCTTAACCAGATTATATTCCACAATCAGGGAACACTTTAAAGTTTTGTAAATGTGTTTATGTTAAGACGTTGTAACAATAACACGCAACTTTCATCTAAATAAAATAAAACTCTCTCCTGCGCGTTTATCTACACTGTCAAATATCAACAATAGACGCTTTATTACCTTTTTAAATTAAAGTTTAATTTCACATTTTGTAAGACAATAATGAGTATAACAAGTTACAATGTTTATAGTTAAGATATATATGTGTAATATATAAATAGTTCAAAAGTTTCACCTTCACTGATGTCCAGAAAAATTGAAAAACGTGTGCTTTTTAGGTTTAATAATATAATAAAATGTTAAATCTTTTGAAAGTCTCGAGTTCGGGTTCCTTGAGTCCACCCAGCTCTGATGGGAAAATTGCTGATAATATTTTCCTATGTATGCCGAGTTTCTCGAAACTCGAATTCATCGGCCACAATTTCTTGTGCGATAACGGTAATGTATGATGATGCATATAACAAGTAATTACAATCAAGGCCAATTACGTTTGTCGAAATAAATATTTAAATGTAATTTTCTTTATAAAGTGAATCTAATTACAGCTTTATATTCAATAATGATCTGTGATATGTGATATAAACAATCATGTTAATAATATTAATAAAATATGAACTGGTTTAGTTGTATACCACATGTTTCACTTTTTATTCAATATATACGTGTTATTCATACATTGTCTTACCTGTATCATTATACACAATTTTATTAAATTATACTGGTTTTTTTATAATACAATAAACGCTGTAATCATAATATCATAAGGTAAAACTTATCACTTTGATATACAGAGTTCAATTAAACTGGTTAGCTCTATTACATAGGCTTAAAATGTTACTTTACTACAAGGTTGAGTCAAACTACATTACTTTAGAACTAAAGTGTAGTCTCACACTTGTCTAGTGTTAACACAATCAACATTTGCACTCACTGCAGGTGTTTTGTTTTACAATAAATTTATCAGTCAAAAAATAATCCACTATAATTATCATTAGCAACTACACCACTGTGTGTATGATGGTACATACCAGTGCCGCTACCCAGAATAAACACTGGAGCACCAGCGGAACCAGGGCAAGTTGCTGTAGTGTAATGGTACCTGGTCAAGGGGATGCCTAGCAATGGCACCTTTCCACACTTTTCTCTGTGGGTCCACTCTCCTATAGTCACCTGTTTTGTACGCCCATGGGGATGCGACACGGTGGCACAAAATTTATTCTCCTCCATCTGGTGTTTGTACCTGCATGTGACTATCCTGTCCAGATCCTTATATCTGTCCCAGGTTTGTCTTAGACGTTCTAGAAGCTTCACGTCATGGGACACACACTTCACAACACTTCTATCCGTTTTAACATCGGAGCTCTCAATACAGACACCATACACTCTTACAACCTCTGAAGTATCATCGTTAAAAAACAGCTTAAATTCAGTATTTTTCGCTTCTGATTCATCAAAAACAACATGTGTGGCAGTGACGACATTGAATGTAAACCCCGTGTTGTCTGGTGTCCCTAATCTCTGGCAGCTCTTACAGTTACATGCATCCGTTAAAGTCTCGCAATCTTCTAGATCAATCATCCCTGTACCTGTACGCAAGAAATCGCTGCCTCTGTTACGGTAGAAAGGATACGAATTTGTTTTAGAACTTGTCTTGGGTCTGTCATAACTTGTAAACCTAACCAACACCAGCACAGTCAGTTCAGATATTGCTTTCATTAATTCAAATAATTCATTGTCTTGGCAACATTTCGGAAAATGGAACATTGAGAATATTTTTACAGGAATAAATTGTTCATGGCCTGGATTCTTTTTGCAAAACGAGTATGCAATCGACTGAGGTTTATCTGGCACTGTTGCTGTAGATACTGAAAACGTAAACAGTAAAGTAAATCATTATAAAAATCATTAGTCTTTTGATAATTGACATTAGCATTTATATAACTCACTAATTACTAGTTATGCAAAAGATAAAAAAGTCTTTTGATTAGAAAACATGAAGTAAAAATAAAATCACTAAAAACGTTGCATTTTAAATGTTTATTATTTTGGTCAGTTTTATGGGTAATAGTTGGAATTTTTCTTAGGTTTTGTACAAATGGTTAAAACTCTAATTTATTTAAAGGTGGTGACGTAAGGGGAACCTAATAATAAAACGCACCTGTTTGTCCATTATTTATAAACAGATCATTATCCAGTAGATCTTTGGCTGATGGTCTAGCTACAGGGTCTACCGTAAATGTTTTCTTTAGGAAAGTTTCACAGAGGGCTGACACATCTGGATATTTAGGTGGTTCTTTGTTCTGCCCAATTGTAAATAAAACATTGGCTTCGTTTTTACATTGAGGATATGGGTCTCTGCCTGTGATCATCTCTACCACTGTACTGCCGATACTCCTGTTATAAAGGAAATGTATGTTATATTACATGTATTTGCAAACTGAATTGTATTCATAAGTAACATTTAGTAATTGTGCGACTAATAAATGCATAAAACTGTAATTAATTATAATTAACTCCAGTTAAATATTTTAAAAATCTAATTTGAATTGATATTCATTTTTATTTTTTAAAAGTATAACGGTGAACTACTTTAAGATATTCCCATAAAAACATGCATAAATTGGAAAATCCTGTACATGTATCTAGAGCTATACGTGACAACAATAAGCCAACTAAGCATGCTGCTATAAAAACCAATAATATAGACTAAGCTATCAAAGGATTGCTTAAATGGTACTAACGCAGTACTAAACACCAAATGTCCAAATAGGTGGGCAGCTTGAATGCCTAATATGATCATTACGTTACATAAATCAGCGGACCACATAATTTTATTTACCACATCTTAGCGCTATGATTGGATCTTTTACTTCATAGACTCACCAAATATCAGCTTTCTTGTTGTACTTTTGTGTGGAGCCATCAGCAGTGACCACTTCCGGTGCCATCCACCTGTAAGTTCCGATGCAAGCTGTGTAAGCACTCGTCACGTCCGTCAGGATTTTAGAAATTCCAAAATCTGTCAATCTGATGTTGTCCTCATCTTCAAGAAGTATGTTTCTTCCTAGACATTAAAAATATAACCAAAAACTAATCAATTTCCATGATTAACTTAGAATGCACCTCTTTCTAATGTGCTAAGGCATAAAGCTGAAATCTATAACGAATTCGAAGTTCGCTACTACATGTGCTAGGGAAGGCGTGGTCGAATGGTAGAGTGTTTGCCTACTTTATATCAAGTTCGGATCTCAGTAAGACATACACGATTCCACTGCACTGATGGATACCCGACTCACGTTAGCAGAAGTTAAGGCGACTGGGCATAGTGCTGACCACACCATTCCTTCATATGCCGAAGTCAAGAAACATGAACTCTACTTCTTTTGCTCTATAAATCTTTAGTTATAATTGTGGAGTTTTACTGTTTACTACATTTTTACTTGTTTTACTGCCATTAATTGAAAAAAAATTTAACGATAACCAAAGTTGTTTAATGTTAAACACTTATACATGACCCTACCTTTTATATCTCTATGGATGATGTTATTTTCATGTAAAAAGACAACAGCTTCAAGAATCTGTTTAGTGAAGCGTTGAGCTTTTGGCTATAAGAGTTTTCCATTTTTGACTAAGTAGTCGGTCAAAGAGCCCTTATAAAACATTTGCAAAAAAATGTATTGTAAATTATTAAATGTTGTTAACAGTAAATACATTTACAGAGTTATTTTAAGATTTAAAAAAATAAGTGTTAAATACCTGCTATAGTTTGGTTAGTGCAGAAAATTCTATTAGAAATAAATTGAATATTAAGGTTAAAGAAGCCTTGAATAAAGTTTCAAATTATGGGGTTAGCTTGGTTAAATAAAACTTAACAAATGAAAACTAAAATACACAACAAAACAGAAAATAATCAATCAACAGATAATACCTAATTTACGCATCGTATAATTCTTTGTATTAATCGAGTTAATTGCAATTTTAATAAACATTAAAAACTTACATTTCCCAAGAATTGCATAAAGATGGAGAAAATATTATCTTTCTGACAACATCCAAAGAACTGTACAATTCGTGGATGTGTTTCTGATGTGCGTAGTATTGTCGTCTCTGTTTTAAATTGTTTCTAGTTAACAGAATAATATAAATGTAGTTTATTACATCAGATTCTATGAAACAATTCGATTTCAAATGTATTAAAAGTACCATCAAGCTAACCATAGAAACTCTGTCTTTATATTTTTAGACATATCTTGGTGGCGATGCATCTAATTTTTAATGATAATCTAAGATCTAATTCAAAGAATAATAATTAGAATTTAACACAATTTTTAGCATGTATACTAGTATATAACCAATTAACTCTCATATTATAAACACAAGCACAATAATGCACATTTAAAAGACAAAAATACAAGTTTTTCTGACAGGTTACATTTTTTTCATTTGTTTTTGTATTTTTATAGATTTTCTATTGGCAAAGCTCTACTAAATTTCTACATGTGTCTGATAAGGAATGAGTTTTGTAAAAATAAAATTCGATTTCAAATTTATCTTTTCTTGTGAGCTTCTTCAACAAATTACATTACAAATTGCAGGCACAAATTATTTAAATATAACAACCAATGCTACACAAACCGTAATGTCATCTTTATTCCTCTCCGTGATAACGATATCTTTAACAACGAAGAGTTCCTGATCAGGATTATCCTTGTCCAGCACGAGATAGACAGTTCCACACCCCCCACTGCCGATCATACGACCTCTCTCCCACTGTACGGGTAGCTCATGTGACAGAATACCCGCTAGATGAAATAGTTACAAGCAATATTAATGACACGATCTTCTACTTATTCAAGATAAAAAATCGTTACCTGCATAATTTAAGCAATCATAACCAACAACTCACGAAATTCGTGTAAATAAGATTTTCTTTTAGACATATGTTCTGGGGGCTTAACATCATCCCTCGACTCCTCCCAAGAAAGTCTACCGCACCCGAACAAAATATAACATTTGTAAAATATATTCCTTAACCACAGTCTGCCTCTGCCCCTTCCCGGAATGTTAAGTCCGCCTATCAGAAAGTTTCAATTACCCTCCTCTGTGAAAATGTCTGAAAGAAACACTGCTGTATATAAAAAACATGTACAGATGCCAATAACATGAGTATGGTTTGTATTTCGATGTATGAAGAGGTTTTGACATGTCTCTAAAAGCTCGAGTACAAGATGGGAATTTGTTTGCATAAAACCATCAACGTTTGGTGAATTTGAGTGGCATGATGGAGTGGTTGAGTAATAGAGATTTCGTGCTGAATGCAAGCTTAAGCGTTTTTAAGTCAATTTTAAAAGCATACGCGTTTTAACATTACATAAAGAATGATGTGCAGACTTATGTGTGAGTTTGGGTGTGTGAGGATGTGTGGAGCTACGATCTGTTTGTAGTGGAGGGGGTGGGGTGGAGGGGTGCTTGTGTGTTTTGGTAGGTTAATGCAGACGGAAATTATTGTATTGCACTTTTATTTTTCAGGTTTAAAAAATGTAACTTTCCTCTGTTACTTCAGCTCTAACTTGCTATACGTCGTAATTAGCTGGTTGTCTAGTTAGCTGTTTTAATTTCTTCACGTGTCATATTCACAGGAATATACTACAAATACACATAAATTGTTGTGTAGTTTAGCGCAAGTCATAACAGTAACATAAGTACACACCAAAGCAACTAACATTTAAAGGATTTATATTTTCAGTTTGAGCACGAAAATTACTTTTTATAAAATGTTAGTGTGTAGGTTTTACTACTTAATTAATAAATAGAATAAAGTTTTAAACTTACGAACAGAACCATCCTCCGTTCTTCTTCTCTTTTCGGAGTTAGACATCCGTCACACTATGTAATCAAATATAAACACATTTTAAAAATGTACTGCGAGAAAAAAAAACTAGACGAGCTCATACTAGTTCTTTTAAAATATCTACGAGGGTGATTCAGGCTATTTGTTTTTATAATTGTTTGATATAGAGGCGTGGCGATCTGTAAGGGGCACTGAAGACGAACTATCAATTTAGCGTCCACCTTATTTTATATATTACAATACAAACTATATCTAAATTTTTAAAAATGTGATCTATAATAATTTATTCGTATCGTACAATTGGGTAATTAAAGAATGTTGTGAGATAATATTAGCGACAACTATGGCTAGTTTACATTAGTCAGTTCGGCATTGGATCTTTAAGTATTTTGCTTGTAATCACTTTGTACTTTCTTAGAATAGGAAAATAATTTGTATTCCTCATTTAACCAGTATTAATAGCAGTTAACTATAAGTAACAGAGCTTTCAAGTGCGATAATCTTGCGGTAGCGTTGGCTTTATTGTTTGACCTACTTTAGACGACGTAAAGAAAAGGAGAATTGTAGCAGGCAGAAAACCTTTATAAATTCCTTACATTTAGATTTAGGTCAAACCTTAGTAGTAGTGTGGTACATAGGCCTGTAAATATTTTTACAATCACAAATAAGAAAATTAAAATCTACAACACGGATCTAAATCTAGCACTCCCTTTGAAATAGTTCCAAATCAGTTAATATTCCTACTGAGTATCTTGTCTAATGCATCTCGACGGCCATGCAACTATAACCTTATTTTTACATCTAAAATTTCAGCAGGCTTTACATGAGTGTTAGAATTTTATCTTAAGATTTAGTATTTAATAATTATTTGGTTAGTTAAGGTGAGTAAAATAAAATAAATGTAACTCTACCTTCTGTTTAAGGCCAAAACAAAAATAAATTACAACCCGGAAATAGGGCAATGTTGTTGCAGTAACGGGATTCTCCTATAATATTTGTCGAATCTATTTTTAGCTTGTAAGAATTTTTTGTATTACCTGTTACATTTGTTTTTTCTTATAGAAATTGTATAGCGTCTACCGATTCAAATGTAGTCAGTTAAAACTCATCAAATGTTCTTCAAAAAGGACCACTTTAACAATAAACTAATAATAATACTTTCTATAAATGTATTTTTTAAAATAACGGATAAAATTTATCTTTCGTCTTTTAAGCTGTTTTGCTATGTCCGATATACTTATATTATTACTTATATGGCTGATTTAACAATAATAGTTGTATGGTTTAGTTCACAATGTTTATCATGCGGACGATTCGAACCAACTCACTAAATTATATTGTAGTCAGTTACCCGCATACAATGATGGCGGTGATAGATAACATGGATTAGTGTTTACTAGTATAAGTGTTTACTAGTGTTTAGTGTTTACTAAGTTACTTTTCCACATGTTCACATATACAAAACAAACAGGTTATATTTCTAAAACACACACAGTAGTTTCAAGAAACGCAGTTCTATCGTTTGCATTTCTTTATAAAACAGTTTAGTATTGAAACAATAAAACAGTATACACTGATAAACACAAGTATCTGCTCATAGTACACTATTGGTTAACTTATTGTATACATGATATATTTGTCAACCAAGAAAGAAGCATACAGGACACATTTTTAAATACAAAGTATTAGAAAACAAGTAAAAAGCCATAGGAAACTATTTATTTGACAAAAGTACAACAAAATATAGCTGTCTAGTTTATTTTTATTGTTAGCATACACCTGAACTATAAAAACAAATAATTTAATCAATAAATGAAAAGCTCATTCAGTTCTAAGTTAAAGTACAATTTTAAATACATCGTCAACATTAAATACGATCGGTATTACAACCTTTATCGAGATAGTTAAAAAATAAAATCACCGTCAAATACATTATGCAATAAATTTGGATAAAATATTTTAGTATGAAATATACTCTTATACATTTTAAATTCGTCAAATTACTATCAGTTTTTTTAAGAAAAAATAGCTATTTTAATAATTAACATTCGATTACAACCTAGAATCATCTACTTAATTGAAGTTATAGCTATTTAAAAAACCCACACATAATTAAATTATGATTATTCAATCAAATAAATAACACAAAAATGTTGAAAACTGAATGTGGTTTATTAGTGACAGGGGTGTTTTAACTTTTTATTGATCAGTTTAAAATTTTTAATTCATATAATTATTTTGTCGAAAATGGTATGCATTTATAAAAAGAAACCTTGAAGGAATAATATAGTGAGATAAGAAAAAAAAATATGATTAAAGGAACACGCTTGCAGTTTTAATAACCGCTGATGCATGTGTTAAGATAAAATAATTAGTTAAGATATTGTATTAATTGTATTTCGTTAATTAGCGAATGTTTTGTTTCGATCGGATATAAACAATATATGGGGTAGATGAAGTAGCTTTCACCGAACTCAGCATACAAAGAGGTAGTATGACCAGCATAATGGCTATACTTTCCCCAACACTAGTCAGTTACCCGTCAAAATTTGATTGACTCAAAGTCGCGCTGGGAACCTAAGCCCGAGATCCGCATTAGAGAATTTTGAAGGTATTTTTTCTATACTATACGCTCGGTTTTTTTTAATTTTTGAAATAGTTATTTATTCTAAGCTTTAAAATAGATAATTTTCTTAAAGTAAAAAAAAAAAAATTAAAATTAAATCCATAAAGAATCACGTTTAAAATAACAACAGATTAACCTTTTAAAATAAAATCATTGTACACATTCAGGTTTAACTACTATCAAAACCTTTAAAAAAAATGTCCATATTCAAGCGTTATTCGTTTTTTCACTTCATCCTTGTTCATGAACTCTGTAGAAAAAAAAAAGGCATTTGTACCTACAACAGTTAGTCAGATTGTATATGTTATAAAGGACATTAAGTTTTTGAAGATACGTTGTCAAGCTGCACGGCGTTTGTAATGCTAGAAAAAGCCATGACTTATTATTAATTTTTAGTAATTGTAAAACAAAATTAATACTGTAATAAAATTATGTTTTAAATACATTTAGTTTGTTAAGGGGTTGTTGTTTTGGACATTTTATTTTAATCGTACAGTAATAATTATTTTTTTAATTTATTCCCAATATTAAGTCTTGCTTTGTTTAGTTTATGCTCTAATGAAATCAGTAAAAAAAAACATATTACTTAATGTATGGAGAACTCTGATAATAAAGAGTTCTGATCCCGGGCACATAAAGCTCCAAGTTTTTAGAAGAGAATAGTCATTAATCGAACAAAAACTTCAAACAACTTTTATTGTAACTAATTCAGTAGTCAAAGCAGAATGATATCGGCGACAACAAGCCATAAGGCGCTTAACGTGTTGACACAGTCACATGATACTTGAATTTAAGCCCCCCCCCTATCTCCCCCACAGTTTTACTATTAATATCGAATAAGAATATTTGAAAAATGAAACAAAACACATGCATTTTATTTCCATTTTTAATTGAAATAAATCAAGAACAAACAAAAATTATACACTAAAACCAAATACGTTTTGTGTACAGACTTGATTGCAGTATCCGCTAAGTTCAGCCTGGAACTATTTGTTCATGTTTGCACACTTGGCGCATGCGTAGTTGTAACCCTTGTGTTGACAGCATGGAGGTTTGTCTAACGTGATGGTCACCGAGTCCTGCAGCTTGACCTCGTTATTTGAGACATGGCCTGTGGTTTTTATAGTGTAGCTAAACCCGACGTTCTGTCCGTGAGAGATTGTTTTACTTTAAACATTACTTATGATACAAAATTAAATCATCAAGCTGTAGTGGCGAGTTACTTAAATTTAAATCAAATAGATGAACATAAAATATAATTTGAATTGCAATTTACTCGTATGTACTATAAGTTTAGAGGTAAATTATGTGCTATTCTATGTTTAAATATAAAATAAAATAGAATAGTTTTTTCTTTGTGTGGTAACTTATCTAAAAATACACACATTGTGTGTGTGTTTTTTTTTTGGTTGGTTGGTGAACTGGTCTTGACTTTAAACTTTATTTTTATCTTAGTAGTTGTTAGAGGCAATTAATTTACAAAATCAGTTGCCGATTCATATACTAAATAAAAACCTTAATTGAGGCATAATACATGTTACTTGTGATGAATTGCTATCGTGTGAAGAATGTAACTATAGAAACTTTGAAATCAACTTACGTTTGAATGAGCCCCTGTTAACATTTTAATGTGGTCATCAGTCAATTGTATTGATCTGCAGAAAAGCAGCATAAGTTTTTAGCTTTATTTATCAGTATTGTAACAACTGTATTGCCTAACATTTTTCTATATATGAGTATAAAAATATTGTCTGTAAAATGTTTCTAGGACAGATCTAAATGTAAAGGGCTTCATCAAGAATTTTTTTAAAAATCTACTAACGTTTCAAGTTGTGCATACGCCGTACTACAACCTAAACAGCTAATAGAACAGCACAAAGAGACACTAAAGCTACATATGATAGAGTACGGCCGTGCTTAAGCCCTTCCAGTACGTTAGAGGCGTAGAATGTTTTTGTTGGCGGTGTCACTTTAGCTGGATTCTGAATCACAGAAATAAGAAAGAAAAAACGTCCTTTTTACATAAAAATAGTTTTTTGGTTAAAAAAAAAACAAGTAGCATCATGTGTTTTTTTGCCCGGAAGTAACAAAACGCATGTTTATTTGACATACATTTTAACTATATAAAAATGTGTTTAGAAATACAAAATTGCCATTTTTGTGTGTAAAAGATTCATATAAAATTAACTGAAATACAGTTTTAACACAATCAGGTTAAAATGTTTACCTTACGTTTCTTGCCCCTGCCATTCATATTTTTGTTTTCAGTTTGTGTCTCAGCATCGTTCTCATCCTGTTATGTAAATTTTTACATCATTTGCATTTGCATTAAGGTATTGGTATACGAATAGTAACGCTTTTTTTATTTTATTTTATATCTCTATATACATATAATGTATCTCTTTCATTTTTTAAATAAACAGGACTAAATTTTAAAATTTAAAAAAAAATCGTTATTTCGTAATTAAGATAATATTGCTGTTCAATGACTTTGATGAGCTATTTACAATGATTTTACGCATTGTATGTTTGAGAATCGAGAATCACAAATTACCTCAAAATCTATAACCTCCATAGTTTGTGTACACTTCTCATGCATTGATCTAGTACTGTCTGGTGAAGGGGAGCTAACAAAAAATTGTTCCTGAAAAAACAGTATTTTTCAGTTATCGTTATTTGATGAGTATAGTCAACATTATAGGCGAAACGTTACTGGTTTCGTAATACAATACTTATTAAATATAGCGTCTAGATGGGAGTTAAATAAAATAGTTATTTTAAACCAGAGGCGTAGCGAGGGGGGCGGGGGGCGGGGGGGGGACATATGTCCCCGGGAGCCGACCTTAGGGGGGGCGCCAAAGTGAAAGTTTGAGGAAGGATGCTAATCGAAAGTTTGAGGGGGGGGGGGGTGCAAATGAAAAGTTCGATGGGGGGTGCAAATCGAAAGTTTGTCCCCGGGCGCCTGGAAGGGTCACTACGCCTCTGTTTCAAACTAATTAAAAACAAGAATCCTAAAATGTATATCCTAAGCAAATATGAATAAAGCTACATGAAATTATATATAATTTAAAAAAAGAAAGTTTGAAACTGAACTAATTTACTATAATTATAAAATTTATTTTAAACCTGGAGAATTTCGTCCAATCTATATAGTTTTGGGACAGTAAATTCCAACCAACTTAATCTTAGATAAATACTTCTGGCAGTAAAGGGTCTAGTAGAAAACAATACTCAGGCTAGGACCCAAAATATTGAGTTATAAATGGTGTAAGGTAACCTAGGTTGAAGCTACTTACTGACATTATCATTAATATAGTTTGTCGATAAAATAAATTATATAACAAAAAGATGAAACATTGAAGTGCCGGCTTGCTTTTTGTGTTGGTGCTATTTAGGTACAAACGTAGATCACAGGATAGGCTGCTTTATATATGTCTACATTATCCAACAGATTATTACAAATGTCTACCCCAAAAATACGCTTCACATAACTAACAACTTCGCCTAAACACTGGTCTCAAGATAAGTGAATCGATTCTAACAGCAGTTAAAATTCATTTAAATTTTTCCAGAAATAAAAGAGCGCCTTTAAGATAAAAGTGCAATAGATGGGAATACGCTTGTGTTATTTTTGCTTGATCGTTTTTTTTCCTATATGTGTTATGTTATATCATCTTATAGTATTGGAAGGGATTCCCCCAACACAATTAAGTATTACGGGTCAACTTATAATGCGCAATATTGACCATTGACTCAGATTTCAGCCTGCTTTTTGAATTTGTATCGATAGCTTTTGTGCAACCAAGAACAAACTACAAGGCAACATTTATTTTGTTTTGGAGTTGTCTTTCCTAGCAGAGGCGTAGCGACCCTTCCCGGAGCCCGGGGACAAACTTTTTGATTTGCACCCCCCTCCCCCGCTCGAGATTTCCATTTGCACCCCCCCCCCCTCAAACTTTCCATTTGCACCCCCCTCGAGATTTCCATTTGCACCCCCCCCCTTGAGATTTCCATTTGCACCCCCCCCCCTCAAACTTTCGATTTTACACCCCCCTCAACCTTTCAATTTATTTTTCCAACCCATTTTGGCGCCCCATAAGGTCGGCGCCCGGGGACATATGTCCCCCCCGCGCCCCCCCCCCCTTCGCAACGCTACTGTTTCCTAGACAGGGGGTTCAAACTCGGGACTTTTCGGTAGAGCAACCAATTAGCTATAGAGACCCGACCACGCTAACGTTATAACAATTATGTCAAATATATCAAGATTACCTGTTGACTACCCAACCCTTTCAGGGCCAGGATCATCTTGTCGTGATGGTATGCACTACAATACAAAAGTATAGCCAAGCGTTAATCGTGATAATATTATTAATCTTTTATTTTTCTACATGTTTACATCACTAAAAGTACTGATAATTAACATGCCGACAAAAAAAATTTAAATCAGCTAAATTAATTTAGCATAACTAGAATTTAGATATGACATATGTAAGTCAGTAAAAAAAAGAACACACGTATAAAATTCAGTATAATGCACCAGACTGATTTGATGAATGCTACGAATATGAGTTACATTTACGTACACTTTATGTATATGTATGTAATTCTACACATATTATATACTTATAAATTACTTTGTTAAATTACAATTTATTTTAATTTTAAAAATTTATTTTAATAGATTTATACACCATCATATGTTCAATAAAATAATTAAAAGTAGAAATACATTTTGCAATTGCACTTGTAGTAGTTAGTATTTACATATCGTTGAAAGTAAATTTAAACACAAACATGTTGTTGACACAAAACGCTTTACATTACACATAGCATTTAAACTTAAAGCCTGTATATTGCATAGCTCAAAACCTCAAATGCGAATCTAAGACTCGAGTCTTGAGGAAGTTTATGATTCCACACATCCCTTATGTGTACCTGACTCACTTTATGAAAGTAAAATCAGAGGTGCATCAGAACTGCACATATTATTCATTTAGGCTTTATGTCGAAGTGACGTCAGCAGATGAACTCTACTTATTTTAGATAACAGATCTAAAGGTCAGTAAATATAACTTTTTACTAAGCTAGAAATCCATTTGAACGTGGTGTGTTTTCCACTACTGGTCAATGCTTGTTGAAGCAGCATTTTTTGTTTGTCTATTCCTTCCTCGGTGGTGTGTAAAACAAATACAATATTAACTGCATAAATAGGCTACAATAACTGATAAAGATATATGGGTTTAAAAACTTTGCAGCATCTTCTTCCATCAATAGATTTTTTCAGTTCAGCTATTTTTTTCGCACCATTCTCGATAGAAAAGGGAGATAATATTTTATGTTTCCATTTTTGTATGTAGTTTTAAAGCGGGCTTTAATTATTTTAAAGGCCGTTAATTGAAATCTCGAGTCTGTAAATGTATTTAAAAAGTTAAATACACAAACACTTTATTTTTCTTAAACACATCTTTCAAATATTTATCTGTAGACTTGCTAAGTTACATAGACTGATACAAAATATGTTACTAACTAATTTTATTTCTAACATTAAAATTTAAAAATTATTAAGCAAGGAGTTTTCTTGTGTGTTGCTTATTTTTATAAAGATGAATTAATTAAGCTACATTTCACAATACTTATATCAATTAAAAAGTTTAGTCTTACAAAGGTTCTTTAAAAAAGTTTTAAAGTTTTTTTGTCGGCATGTAGGGCCTACAATAAAGTTATCTAATGGAGAAAAGAAAACAAGATGTACCTGGTTTACTTACCTTTATGCAAATATGGTTTGATCCTAATACAAGACATTCAATGTAAAGAAATTAAAAAAAAAGTCATAACGGTTAATTGAGCGAAATGTGCGTTCGTTTCGAATTTTTTTCTCAATTTATGAAAAAGTTAACGGAAATATTTCATAGCTTGTGATCGACTTTCGTTAGAACCGTGATGTTTATGCTAAACATTTGTTAAAATAATATTTTTGGGGGTCTACGACAAATTCCCGAAAGACTTGCCCGAATGCCGTTTGCCCGAAGGCCGATTTCCCGAGTGGACTTTTGCCCGAATCGGGAAATTGGCCTTCGGGCAAACGGCATTCGGGCAATGTCTTTCGTGAAAACGTTCGGCTCCCCATTCTTGGGATAAGGTTAGGGTTGTTACAATTACTTACTTTGATCGGTTTCAACAATAGTTGAATGTGTTCTAATTACATATTACAATTTTTAGATATAGATTTTAATGTACACATATTACATCTTTATTGAAGTCAAAACTTAATGCTAGAAACGTCTATTATTATATGTGTGAGCGGTCCTTAGAGCCTCTGTAGTAAAAAAGTCATGCTGAGTAATTGTGTTAACCTTATATAAAGTAACTTTACAAACTTTCAGTAAGCCATATCTTTTTTATTATATGTTACCAGCTAGTGGCGTGTATTTATACACATGTTGTGTAAAACATTTAGCACACATGTGTAAAATCTACAGTATAAATGTGATGGAACATGTATAAAATGTGGGTCACAAAATACTGTGTAACATTCGGGCACAATTGTTGTATAACATCTGAGGCACAAATGTTGAGTATTATTGTGATTAAATACAACTTTACATCTGCATTCCTCACACTTTTGTATTGTCGTTTAGTTATAATTGATGTTTTACCTCGGGATTGTCAGGCCATTCTTTCTTGATATTTTCCACCAACGTTGTAAACGTCTCGTCAAACTTTGGGGGAACTAGAAACAAATTCCAGTAAAATATTTCTTAAGTAAAGTATTTTAACGTTCAGGTACACGCAACATAAATTGTATGTCTGTAAATAAAGTTACCCTTGCAGACTTAAATATCCATCGGTCAGGTGAAATACAGTTTATGTTTCATGACCACGACATAAGAAGGAATGGTATGGTTCGCACTTAGACAATGCGTCTTTACTTTAACAAAACACGAATAAGATACACATTACAGCTGGGTGGACTCACGAAAGTTCTAATAATTGAACCCGGATTTAAACTCGAGACTTTCGTGGTTAGCAATCTAGCACATTTACCACTTACATTTTGAAGACCTGGGCGGGACTGAGTTTGAGAGTAAAAATTTAGGCACAGGATGATAAATCTTTAAAAAACAAAATGAATGACATTCATATACAACTACTTAATCACAGATCAGACAAAAGGATGTACCAAAGCCAACGTGGTAAAACAGATATTTACTATATGCAAGTATAATTCTACTCAGACTAAAAACACATATTTACTATATGCAAGTACAATTGTACTCAGACTAAAAGTAGAACCAAACGTACGTGTAAAGTCGTAGTACATGTGAGCCCGCAGTAAAATCCCCAGCCAACCTCGGGGCTTTAGGTAACCTTCTTCAACCATCAGGAACTTGAGTGGAATCTGCTGGGTGTGGGCGTACTCGGCCTCTGGGAAAATACGGTCGTCATAATATTTCATGCAGTAATTAATTTTATTAGAAGATTGGTTTATTTCTTATTGTGAGCATATATTTTCACCAATTCAACTTCGATAGAAAATTTTATTTTTTAGATGTTTTTTAAATTTAAAAGCAAAGAAAATAATACTTTAAAAATCACAAGCACATTTCAAAAATAAAAAGAAACTAAATGTACAGATGGGGGTCCTAC